AATTGTTTATTATACAAATTCTTTTGGAAACTGCCACTGTATAAACAGGTCCCTTTGAGTACATCCTCCAAGGAGTATACTGCATTTACTGTCCCTGGCAAAGGACTCTTCCAATTCTGTCGGATGCCATTTGGCTTATCTAATGCTCCTGCAACTTGGTAAAGAATCATTGACACACTTGAACCAAATGTTCTACATTGATGATGTGGTGATAATTTCTAATTCCTTTTCAGAACATTTGCGACTTTTGGAGGTTGTATTCGACCGCTTGCGTCGGGCCGGACTCATAATTTCTTCAAAGAAATGTCACTTCTGCAAGCCAGAATTAAAATACCTCGGCTATGTGGTTGATAAAAAAGGGTTACGCTTTGATCCAGAAAAGGTTGAGAGCAGATTTGTGGGAACTGCTTCCTGGTATCGGCATTTTGTCCCAGAATTTTCTTCGGTGTTAGCACCCATTCTTAATTTAACTAAAAAGAACGGTAAATTTATCTGGACTTCAGATTGCCAGAAATTTTTCACATTACTCAAAAAATGTTTAGTTATTGCTCCAATTCACCTGATTTCGACAGGATGTTTTATCAACAAACCGATGCCTCTAACTATGGGCTGGGGGCTCAACAACACAGAGTGATCAATAATTTATTATTCCCAGATCTTGTAGAAAATCTTTCATGAAAATTGGTAATAATTAATCGAAAATAATTCTACACCGTTGCGGTCCTGTATCGACAAACATCATGCAGTTGAAATTTAGAAGTTTTCTGATGTTTCAAACACCATATATTTCAACTCAAAATATGTTCATGTTTACTAATTTTTAAAGTCTGCAACCCTGACAAAAAAGGAAAAAAATCGTTGTCTTTGGCGGTTTAAAAGACGTGTTCAAAAGCGACGGTGATCCAATTACCGTCTTAAGATGTTCTCTTCGATAATGATGACTTAACAAAGTCGTTCTTGTTGGTTCGGATTCCGTTCGTCTTTCTGTTGTTGTCGGCCTTTTCGGCAGCAACCGAGACTCATCAGCCTCAACAAAAACCCGATATTGAATCTTCTTCCAAGGAATAGAGACGAACATTAGAAGACGATTAACTTTATTATGAGTTAAATCAAGACACATTGGAATTTCAAAAAATAGTTGGAGCCAATTCATATTAATTAATTTGTTGTGAATTCCCATAAAATTAATTAGCATAAAAACTACATATAGTTAAAGGCAATCTATAAATGGTCGGTTGAGTCATTAAAACCCACCTATACCTGGTTGAGTCTTTAAATTGCGTTTTGTGGTTTGGACGGTTTCGCCAACACACACAGAAAAATTCATTATTTAAATATAATTGGTCAGATTTACACACACGTTGTCACAATAAAACAAAACTGGACTGAAAGGTGTTCATAAACACGCCGGTTTTATGTCTTAATTTTTGGGTCTCTGGGAGATTTTCCTAGAAGTTATCTTATATTGTATAGATAATTTGTTGTTTATTTATGTACTGAACATTATGTTTGTATAAGGTTTTTGTGGCAACGCCGATTTTGGTTTTGCAACACAAAATTCGTCCATGTTGGTCCATCCGCCTTGGCCAATTTGCTCAAATTACAGTGGTCCCACCGATGATAATGACTGGGGGGAACCGCGATCTGGCCGAACATCTGGTTATTTACCGTGAAACAGACATCAAGGTTCGAGATGGGTTTGTTGCTCTTCTTGGTAGTACTACTCGCTATATGAGAAAAAGCCGACGAATTTTATGCACAAATCTGATAATATGTTTTGTGAGTATCTATAATAGAGTTGCAACAGTTCCAATAATCAGTCTTAAAACTAACATAGTTTATGAGAACCTGAATGCACAATCCTGCAACGTCGCGAAAAAATCTGTTAATAGAGTCATTTGACCGGGGAACCCAAAAGCCGAGTTGAGCCTATATAACCGGCTCACGGAATTCGGACCCTCCTTTTCCCTTCGGTACCACCGCCCGGTACGATCAACTTTTAGCTGGTTGAAATCTCAGATGTTTTAATTTCAAAATCTGTTCATAATTAGCATCAGAGGGATGATTATCTCCCTATTACAAAATACAGTAAACAACAATAAAGGGAGGGTCGAAATTAGCCAACCGCATTGTATCGAAAGCCCCAGATTGGGAGGGTCGTTACTTTGTTGCCAGCCCCTCCTGAGTACTCGCTAAGCGGCTTTACCGGTACAAATTACCCTATCTAATCTGTTCACGCTCTTTGGTTTTGGTCTATTGTGTTGTTCTGCCGCATATTTAGCGATAAAGCTATAAAGCTCTTTTGGAGGATTTTGAGAAGAGGGCGATGTGTTTGGTAGCATTTTGGTAAACTTTTAGTTGTTTAAAGGGTTAAGTACTTGCGGTTAGAGCTTTTGTTTGAGAATAAGGACTCGGTTCTCAGAAGATTATTTGTGTCACTGTATCACTTCTTTTAGATCATATCAGCTACTGCTTTTCAATAGTTTGTCTCAAGTTTCAGACAACTTGTTTTAGCATCAAAATGGCTTGAAATAACCTCATATGTATTCCACGTGGTCACATAAAGCCAAGGGGCAAACCACCTAGGAATTCTTTACCAAAAATGTGGGGAATTTAGAGGAATTTGTCCGAAATTTAGAGGAATTTGTGGAAAATTTGAAGGAGCTCATCGGGATTCATGAGAATTTGGGAAATTTATAGGGAATTTGAATGAATTTATGGAGAATTTGGAACAATTTGTGAGGAATTTAAAGGAAATTCTAAGATCATGATGTCACTGAGGTTCACATTCTTATTATAAAAAATTGTAATAAATGGAAGTTTAAAATTGGATGTTGGATATTCATTTTTATTAAAGAAATTTTCCCAAACTTTCACTCCATGATTTACAGGTTCAAATTTAAAAAATTCAAAAGAATAATGAATACAGTTTTTGTAGGCTGATTTCTAAGAGTTTCCATGTTATTATTTTCCACTGGAAAAATTTGAAATTTTGGGAAAATGAGCTTCTCATCTTCCTCTTTACATGCAAAAAGTTTCAAAATTTTCCCTTTACTAGTTTTCTAGGAAAACTTTGAAATGTGTGAGACTGTATTTTCAATTAATTCAGTTTTTGTAAGTTGATTTCCAAGATTTTTCATGTTGTTATTTTTCACTGAAAAAATTTGAAGTTTTGGAAAAATGAGCTTCTCACCTTCTTTTTACATATGCAAGTTTCAAATTTCTCCCTTCACTAATTTTCCAGGAAAACTTTGAAATGTGTGAGACTGTATTTTCAATTAATTCAGTTATTGTAGATAGATTTCAAAGATTCCTCATGTTATAATTTTCTAATGGAAAAATTTAAAATTCTGGGAAAATGAGGAAAACTTTGAAATGTGTGAGACTGTATTTTCAATTAATTCAGCTTTTGTAAGTTGACTTCCAGGATTTCTCATGTTGTAATTTTCCATTGGAAAAATTTGAAATTTTGGGTAAATGATCATCTTACATTCCTCTTTACATGCAAAAAGTTTCAAAATTTTCCCTTGACTAGTTTTGTAGGAAAACTTTGAAATGTGTAAGACATGTTGCTGTTTTCCACTGGAAAAATAAGTCGGGTATTTAGAGAAGTTCGTGGTGGAGTAGGTATTTGGAGGAATTTGTGATGAAGTATCTGGAAGAATTTGTGGGGAATTTGGAGGAATTTTGAGCAATTATGCGTAAAAAAATTCCCCTTTGAGGAATTGTTTGCACAAATCCCTTGCATAAAGCTTACATTAAGCTTTCATGAAAATGTTCATATTTATCAGATAACAAAGTGTTGTAAAACAGTTCAGAACAGCATTATCTGTTGGTTTTTTCAAGGACCCAAACCATTGATTGTAGAATCCAATAAAAACATCCTGTTGTAGTAAAGTGGCAAATGGGACATGCCAAATTATTGTAGTGAATCCCTACTTTCCCATTGATGGTTTGATGACTAACGAGACCGCTTTACATAAGGGGTCCTCTACTATTCATGCTATACATTTTTCTACAGAGGATTTTTCATCTTTTCCCAATTAAAAGGCAGGAATTCTGAGACTATCATCGAATTCCAAATAAAATCAGAATTTCGTGTAGAAGAATACACCAACGAAGGATGAAGACAACGTCCAATCAGGATCGCGTGTCCCCGCATGGCCGCTCTCGCCTCGGGCGTCTCTCGACACGGCCGCTCTTCTCGTCTTCTTGATGTCTCACTTTTGCGCCCAGCAAAGATCTCAGTCAATTCCGCTTGATGATGCCACAAAATGGTTTAATTTTTTCAAATCCCATCAATGGACGAAGTAGCTTCAAACTCCTTGATTCAATACCTATATAAGTGGCTAGATCTAGAATTGTGATAACAAACAATCTCACCGTTATTAAGTGTGGGTATACTGTCACCATTTTTTCTTCAATCTTGATAAAATCCGAAAGGTTCGACGTTGAAATAATTATACCATCAAAAGAGGATGAGGCCGTAAAGATATAAACGTGTTCGGAGTTAAGTTTTTAGCCGCTTGGGCGTGGCCTGGGGCACCTGTAACCGGTTAGGGCCAATCGTTGCAAGGGTAACGCCTGGTATTTACCTGGGTACTCATCGATGGGACATCATAAACTGCGCTGGTAAAGTATCAAGAGTTGTGGTTGCCTTTATAATTTAGAGGTGAAATAAGTTCTCTTACACTGGACCAAATTCTTGTTGTTTCAATGTTTCTGGACTAACTTCAGGCTTGTTTCTATTTTTCTTAAAGAATAGGAAATCAACCTTTTTAGGTCTCATTTTTTTTTCTCAATTATCCTTTAACACAAGTTGGTATTTTTGCAAAATTTCTTATCAATGACTCTATACACTATTATTGACTTTCTTCTAAAGAGACTGCAATTGTGATAAATGAGATATTTTTTTTTAACCTTGTTTTACAAGAAACATGTAAGACAGTAATAGAAAACTCCCCCAAGTAGAATATGACAAAAAAAAATAAAACAGTCAATAAGAATAGGAAACGAAATGTCTTTATTGACCATCAACTACTTGATACATTTTTTAAATGAAACAAATAACTACCTACTTCACTATAATTTCAAATGTTACATCTAATTAAAAATTAATATTATCACAAATAAATACAAGTAATTTCTCAGCTCATTTTTTGCCGATTTTGATAACATGACGCCTAGGAGTCCACCTCAAAGCCCCACTATCAACACACAACCTCGGTCGTTTGTACTGACTGGATTTAATATGTTCATCAACTAATTTAGGTGTTACGCATATAACGTGTTGGCCTTTCCAATATTTAACCATGTTCATACTTTGAAGAGTCGAAATTATGTCTGTCTGAGTGATACTGGTCATTTGGCTCAAGTCTTTAATGCTCAAAGTGCCTCTGAAATCCCTGAGGATTTCCAATAGGACCCAGCTCCAGTAGCTTCTGTAGCTGAGCTTTCCTAAGTCGCTGAGTGGTTGTTCTGGACTGCCAACTGTGCATTCCAGTCTGGATAGTTCGTAGCTGAAAGCTATGAGTAGTTTGCCATAGCCTTGTCTTTGGTAGGGTGGCAGGGTGAGGATGCAAGCTACATTGTTGCCGTCTGGAGATTCTTTTTCCTGAAGGAGAATAGTTTTAGAGCTAAGTTTGAGAATAAGGTGATCTCAGGCATACACAGCACATACCACACACAACAGAGGATCTAGAGTACAAGTTTTCAGCTATACACAAGAACAAAACAGAACAAAGTGAACAGATTCTCTTCTTGGACATTTTCAAAAACATTCAAAGATGATTTAACAAGTATTAGTATTGCAAGGGAAGAAATCATAATTCTATTAAGTACTAAGCCTCAGATTCACTTCTGATTTGTTTTATTTGATAAAATGACCCTATAATTAATAAGTCTTTAAGGTTTGAATTTATTCTGATTGCTTTAGCTATTTCTCTGAAACTCTGAAGGCAAGGGTGTTTTAATAGATATTTTATAAAATTTTCTTGGAATAAAATCTATTTCTGAGTCTCGGATTTATTTCCACTCTGTTTTACCTAATAAAGAAACCAGGTTTGGCATACACAAAAATCCATTTCAGTAACCCAGTGGGTTGTTGATACAAAAACCCACCATCAATATTGACAAAAACCCAGCTTTTTGTGTCAAAAACCTACTTATACAGAACTCATTCCTACCATACTGCCAAATATGAATCTAAAATCTAAAATTCAAAATTTTCCAAAAAACTCATAAGGGGGTACCTTCTTACTAAAACGATGAAATTTCAAATTTTTTCATGTCGAGATTTTGTATCCTAATGGTCAATCAACATACCCCAAACTCCATACACAAAATTATTCTCAGATTTGAAGCCGAAATCTATGAAAAAAGGCACTCAGAAAAATTGAAAAATTGATAAACCACCCCAAATTGCTTAACACGATTTTATCTCAGGAACTATAAGTGCAAATGAGCTGAATTTTTCAGGGATTGTAGTCCTTTGAAAAAGATAAAATTCAGTGAAAGATTCAGCTTTCTATCTATTATAGAAAAAAAGTTATGACCTTTCGAAGTTTTCCAAAATATAAATCATAAGGTAGGTACCTTCTTACTAAAACGATGAAATTTCAAATTTTTTTTTGTCGAGATTTTGTATCCTAATGGTCAATCAACATACCCCAAACTCCATACACAAAATTATTCTCAGATTTGAAGCCGAAATCTATAAAAAAAGGCACTCAGAAAAATTGAAAAATTGATAAATCACCCCAAATTGCTTAACACGATTTTATCTCAGGAACTATAAGTGCAAATGAGCTGAATTTTTCAGGGATTGTAGTCCTTTGAAAATGGTGAAATTCAGTGAAAGATTCAGCTTTCTATCTATAATAGAAAAAAAGTTATGACCTTTCAAATTTTTCCAAAATGTAAATCATAAGGTAGGTACCTTCTTACTAAAACGATGAAATTTCAAATTTTTTTTTGTCGAGATTTTGTATCCTAATGGTCAATCAACATACCCCAAACTCCATACACAAAATTATTCCCAGATTTGAAGCCGAAATCTATGAAAAAAGGCACTCAGAAAAATTGAAAAATTGATAAATCACCCCAAATTGCTTAACACGATTTTATCTCAGGAACTATAAGTGCAAATGAGCTGAATTTTTCAGGGATTGTAGTCCTTTAAAAATGGTGAAATTCAGTGAAAGATTCAGCTTTCTATCTATAATAGAAAAAAAGTTATGACCTTTCAAAGTTTTCCAAAATGTAAATCATAAGGTAGGTACCTTCTTACTAAAACGATGAAATTTCAAATTTTTTTTTTGTCGAGATTTTGTATCCTAATGGTCAATCAACATACCTCAAACTCCATACACAAAATTATTCCCAGATTTGAAGCCGAAATCTATGAAAAAAGGCACTCAGAAAAATTGAAAAATTGATAAATCACCCCAAATTGCTTAACACGATTTTATCTCAGGAACTATAAGTGCAAATGAGCTGAATTTTTCAGGGATTGTAGTCCTTTGAAAATGGTGAAATTCAGTGAAAGATTCAGCTTTCTATCTATAATAGAAAAAAAGTTATGACCTTTCAAAGTTTTCCAAAATGTAAATCATAAGGTAGGTACCTTCTTACTAAAACGATGAAATTTCAATTTTTTTTTTTGTCGAGATTTTGTATCCTAATGGTCAATCAACATACCTCAAACTCCATACACAAAATTATTCCCAGATTTGAAGCCGAAATCTATGAAAAAAGGCACTCAGAAAAATTGAAAAATTGATAAATCACCCCAAATTGCTTAACACGATTTTATCTCAGGAACTATAAGTGCAAATGAGCTGAATTTTTCAGGGATTGTAGTCCTTTGAAAAAGATAAAATTCAGTGAAAGATTCAGCTTTCTATCTATTATAGAAAAAAAGTTATGACCTTTCGAAGTTTTCCAAAATATAAATCATAAGGTAGGTACCTTCTTACTAAAACGATGAAATTTCAAATTTTTTTTTGTCGAGATTTTGTATCCTAATGGTCAATCAACATACCTCAAACTCCATACACAAAATTATTCCCAGATTTGAAGCCGAAATCTATGAAAAAAGGCACTCAGAAAAATTGAAAAATTGATAAATCACCCCAAATTGCTTAACACGATTTTATCTCAGGAACTATAAGTGCAAATGAGCTGAAATTTTCAGGGATTGTAGTCCTTTGAAAAAGATAAAATTCAGTGAAAGATTCAGCTTTCTATCTATTATAGAAAAAAAGTTATGACCTTTCGAAGTTTTCCAAAATATAAATCATAAGGTAGGTACCTTCTTACTAAAACGATGAAATTTCAATTTTTTTTTTGTCGAGATTTTGTATCCTAATGGTCAATCAACATACCTCAAACTCCATACACAAAATTATTCCCAGATTTGAAGCCGAAATCTATGAAAAAAGGCACTCAGAAAAATTGAAAAATTGATAAATCACCCCAAATTGCTTAACACGATTTTATCTCAGGAACTATAAGTGCAAATGAGCTGAATTTTTCAGGGATTGTAGTCCTTTGAAAAAGATAAAATTCAGTGAAAGATTCAGCTTTCTATCTATTATAGAAAAAAAGTTATGACCTTTCGAAGTTTTCCAAAATATAAATCATAAGGTAGGTACCTTCTTACTAAAACGATGAAATTTCAATTTTTTTTTTGTCGAGATTTTGTATCCTAATGGTCAATCAACTTACCCCAAACTCCATACACAAAATTATTCCCAGATTTGAAGCCGAAATCTATGAAAAAAGGCACTCAGAAAAATTGAAAAATTGATAAATCACCCCAAATTGCTTAACACGATTTTATCTCAGGAACTATAAGTGCAAATGAGCTGAATTTTTCAGGGATTGTAGTCCTTTGAAAATGGTGATAATCAGTGAAAGATTCAGCATTCTATCTATAATAGAAAAAAAGTTATGACCTTTCAAATTTTTCCAAAATGTAAATCATAAGGTAGGTACCTTCTTACTAAAACGATGAAATTTCAAATTTTTTTTTGTCGAGATTTTGTATCCTAATGGTCAATCAACTTACCCCAAACTCCATACACAAAATTATTCTCAGATTTGAAGCCGAAATCTATAAAAAAAGGCACTCAGAAAAATTGAAAAATTGATAAATCACCCCAAATTGCTTAACACGATTTTATCTCAGGAACTATAAGTGCAAATGAGCTGAATTTTTCAGGGATTGTAGTCCTTTGAAAATGGTGAAATTCAGTGAAAGATTCAGCTTTCTATCTATAATAGAAAAAAAGTTATGACCTTTCAAATTTTTCCAAAATGTAAATCATAAGGTAGGTACCTTCTTACTAAAACGATGAAATTTCAAATTTTTTTTTGTCGAGATTTTGTATCCTAATGGTCAATCAACATACCCCAAACTCCATACACAAAATTATTCCCAGATTTGAAGCCGAAATCTATGAAAAAAGGCACTCAGAAAAATTGAAAAATTGATAAATCACCCCAAATTGCTTAACACGATTTTATCTCAGGAACTATAAGTGCAAATGAGCTGAATTTTTCAGGGATTGTAGTCCTTTGAAAATGGTGATAATCAGTGAAAGATTCAGCTTTCTATCTATAATAGAAAAAAAGTTATGACCTTTCAAAGTTTTCCAAAATGTAAATCATAAGGTAGGTACCTTCTTACTAAAACGATGAAATTTCAAATTTTTTTTTGTCGAGATTTTGTATCCTAATGGTCAATCAACATACCTCAAACTCCATACACAAAATTATTCCCAGATTTGAAGCCGAAATCTATGAAAAAAGGCACTCAGAAAAATTGAAAAATTGATAAATCACCCCAAATTGCTTAACACGATTTTATCTCAGGAACTATAAGTGCAAATGAGCTGAAATTTTCAGGGATTGTAGTCCTTTGAAAAAGATAAAATTCAGTGAAAGATTCAGCTTTCTATCTATTATAGAAAAAAAGTTATGACCTTTCGAAGTTTTCCAAAATATAAATCATAAGGTAGGTACCTTCTTACTAAAACGATGAAATTTCAAATTTTTTTTTGTCGAGATTTTGTATCCTAATGGTCAATCAACATACCTCAAACTCCATACACAAAATTATTCCCAGATTTGAAGCCGAAATCTATGAAAAAAGGCACTCAGAAAAATTGAAAAATTGATAAATCACCCCAAATTGCTTAACACGATTTTATCTCAGGAACTATAAGTGCAAATGAGCTGAATTTTTCAGGGATTGTAGTCCTTTGAAAAAGATAAAATTCAGTGAAAGATTCAGCTTTCTATCTATTATAGAAAAAAAGTTATGACCTTTCGAAGTTTTCCAAAATATAAATCATAAGGTAGGTACCTTCTTACTAAAACGATGAAATTTCAATTTTTTTTTTGTCGAGATTTTGTATCCTAATGGTCAATCAACATACCTCAAACTCCATACACAAAATTATTCCCAGATTTGAAGCCGAAATCTATGAAAAAAGGCACTCAGAAAAATTGAAAAATTGATAAATCACCCCAAATTGCTTAACACGATTTTATCTCAGGAACTATAAGTGCAAATGAGCTGAAATTTTCAGGGATTGTAGTCCTTTGAAA